CAAGGAAATTTAAATTATCTAAGATTTGCTGTACTACTTCAATCATTATAGTTACAAATTAATTCCTTTTCATGTACCGAACTTGAAGATATTTTTGGCGTATTGGTCCGCCATATTGAATACCGTGTAATTTGTTTTAGACTGGTACTCGCTCCCACCTCGATTACTCGATTCCCATCGAGTAACTAAGCCGAGAGGGGAGCGAGTACCAGTCTATTCAGGTTGAAGTCGGCTAATTATGTGATTAGTTAAATATGTACTTAAATCGCTTCGTGAAACAGATTTTTGAGTATGATTAACTAATCATAATTACGGGAAGTTAAATATGATTAGTGATTTAATCATACTTAAGTTAAGTACGCTTCGTGAAACCGGCCCCTGATGTCATTGTGTACTTTCGGTAGAAAATAATCACAATACGTTCAATTAAAATTCCGTATCACAATAAAGCTCCAATGGCAACAATAAGAATTAAAAGACAATCACCGCTACGGAAAGATAATTTCCTAGATGCAAAACAGCTTATTCTACCAACAAGTGCCGCATTAGCGACAGTGCTCATCCGAGGTCTGCTGCTCTACTCAGACTACTGTACTGGCCTTCGTTTCTGCAAAAGTTTGAAAGCCTGTTCTGTCGCTAAACCGGCTACGTCATCATCAAAACTGTGTAGCATAGGTATTAACACTAAAACTAAACCCTAACAATGCATCCTACTTCATACCTGCTCGACTGTCTTATATATTTCTGTCATAATGTATCACTAGGCCTATAGTTGCCGCGAGATGGCGCGTGCAAGTGTAATCAATAATCAAAGATGGCATCGCCCTTCGTGCCTTGGTTATAAGTCAAAAAAGTAGAAATAACTTAATTAAGTTGCTGAAATTTACAGGCTAAAATCCAAGTATATACAGGCAGGCGACAATTTCGCTCAGCTGTGAGTAATAAATTAAACACATCTGCATTGCAGGTGTGCATGTTTATTAGAAAAGTGCCAGTTCACCCCCATGCATGAGTAATGGGTTGCCCCCGGGTTTTTGCCTACATTTCGGATGACGGTAGCCACGCGAGCATTCAGGGTGCTATTATTATACGGACTGCTTTAGAAAATAATATGATGTGTAAACAGCTTGTTCAACAAACTTTTGTCTTTGCAATTGAACTGCAAATGTAGCCTCACATCCACACAGGTATGGGCTCTAATAATACTAAATAGCAAAAGCAGTTCAGTCCTTTGTTAACAGTCAACAAGTCAATGTTTAACCCTCCTCTTGAGGGTCAAAAGGTTATCAGACACTCACTTTTCGCACGTCAGTGGAAAGCACATTTCATGGTCCTTTCAATAAAGTGATAAAAATGGTAGGTCAGTGCTGAAACAAAAAAGTTTTTCACTCTGTCCGTTAGGCCATGTCCTCAGAAAATGTCTGATATCTGACCCTTTCCCCACTGCCCTTTGACCTGTGACCTCCAATTTCGCACTGGCGATGGGTTTCCTGCCCATCACACTATACACCGAATATTAAGAGCATAGGTCGAGCCGTTCAGATTTGTGCCGCAATTCCGTATTTCCTCCTATACCTTAAGTTAAGGGGGAAATATTCCCCCTCCGTTGACACATATTTACATTTGACCCTTGACCCCCCCAAATTGGTCATCCATGCAGAGTCCTTTTCACGATCCCCCCACGTCCCGAATATCGTCACCGTACGTCGAGCGGTTAAGATTTGTGCCCGACTGTTGACAGACGAACGGACGCACGCACGCACGCACGGACAATCATGCGATTCTACAAGCTGCATCTGACTTCTGATTCGATGCATCGTCATTCGTCATCGATGATTCATTTTTCGTCAGATGAGCTAAAAATCGTGTAATAAAGGAGCAGCTATCACATAAACAATAACATAAAGCTACGTTAACAGTTTTTGTCCGCTATGCATGTGCTACGATAGCGCGAAAAAGTGCAATCACAATGAAATAGTATAAGCAAAACGATCACTTGACCTAGCGTAATCATACACCTGTCATCGTGCGGAAGGGCTGACATTATTCAGTTCATCGTAACCGCCAACATCACCTGAACCCAAAACGCACGTCTTCATTTCACTACTAACAATTTCGTGCTATCCTGGTTAGCATGCTACTAGTTTAGCATCAATCAAATAACTGTGTAACGTGAAGACGTACGTTACACTTGCGCACATTATTATATACACACATCAGTAATTAGCAAAAACGGCAAGATTAGACCCTAGTCTCACCGGCTGCGCCTATCGACAACGCGCGGACAATTGAACATCATTCAATAATCGCATGTGACGCTAATATAGCGGCTTGTATTATTGACGACGCTGCGTTCCCGTATGTAGGTTAGCCGATTGATTTGCATATACGACTAACAACGGAGCCGTGCGCGCCAGGAGGCTGGACGAACTCGATGGTTGTTTCAACCGCGGGGCAGCAGAGCCATGCACTGTACGGTGAAATATTGCTAACCAACCAGCGCGCCTGAGTGAGTATGCGCACACACGAACGCACGCACGCACGCACGCACGCACGCACGCACGCACGCACGCACAGACATAATAATCGCTTGACGCTGTTCTGTCAGAGTGATCGATAGTCCATAATAGAAAATCTTCTATTGTGGACTCTTGGTGTGATTCACCGACAGGTCTGTTCATGTAACACACAAAGCAGTTAGATGACGCTACTAGTACAGATAAAGCAGTTAGATGACGCTACTAGTACAGATAAAGCAGTTACATGACGCTACTAGTACAGATAAAACAGTTACATGCATGACGCTACCGCCACAGATTATATAAAACAGTTACATGACGCTACTAGTACAGATAAAGCAGTTACATGACGCTACCGCCAGAGATAAAACAGCTACATGACGCTGATGCTACAGATAAAACCGTTACATGACGCTACCGCTACAGATAAAACAGTTACATGACGCTACCACTAAAGAAAGAGGTTAGATGAAGCTACTAGTACATGTAAAGCAGTTACATGACGCTACCGCCACAGATAAAACAGTTACATGACGCTACCGCCACCGATAAAACGGTTACATGACGCTACCACTAAGCAGTTACATGACGCTACCGCCACAGATAAAGCAGTTACATGACGCTACCGCTACAGATAAAACAATTACATGACGCTACCGTTACAGATTAAAGAAGAGTTGAATGCATGATTACATCGTTACAGGTGCGTGTTCAGGTAGGGTAAATCAATTATGCAATACACAAGTCGTGTTTAGTAGCTCGGCAACACAGTGCTGTGTTAACGATTGACGATGATGATGCGGTGTGTTCAGTCGTGTGCTCAGCTGCGTGATGGAGGCAATTTGTAACTTGCGGCTTGTCGAATAATGATTGGAAATACTATAAAGCTCATTACTGGTGCTGAACGAACCACAGCTATGCATGCAATAATAAATAATAATGGAAATTTTTTTTTTAAGTTTCAAAGTTATTGACTTTAAAATTTGCGATAAGTCTAAGAAAATGAGATAGTGGCTAGGTAAGCACACATGCGCACGAATGCACGCATGCACGAACGCACGCACGAACGCACACACACATTATACATACACAAACATTAACATACATATAACAATATACAATATATACAGAAAGTTTTTTAAAGACAACTAATAAAAGCATATAATTAAAATCCATTGAACTTCAAACAAGAAGGAACGAATACTTCTCCAAGTGACCACTGCGAAATGGTTGCTGGAAATCTTTCACCACATGTGTTTTGTTCATGTTTCGTACCCATGAGACCATTTAAATTGACACGAAATCGCCCAAATGTCCTTGTCAAGATTCTGCCAAGATGGTCAAGATACTGCCCTGCGCATGACGTTTCGTAACATTCTCAACACATAACAAACGCGTTCCACCAACATCCAATTATATTTAATGGGATTTTCCAATCTTACAGGCTTATAGCACCCGCTGTGGTTTGAAGTCTTGATCAAAATCAACAAATCTCAAATAAGCACTGATGCGCGCATGCTGCAGGCACGAGTATGCGATCCGTTTAGATCAAATCAAATAGCCACGTAGCAAAAAGCTCCTTACGGGACTTTAACGCCAGACTATGTAATTTGATAGATGCTATTATTTAATCTGAAAAAGCGTTTGTACAGGCAAACACGCTCGCTGTATTTCCATGCCTGCTAAAACAAAACACTCGTCTGACTGTGTATCAAATAGCTTTACTCGCCTGTTTGGCAAACACACCATTTGAAGCACATTCTCCATAAGTCTGATGAAGTGTGCAGTTTCAACGAGGGTCTTTCTACAGATACATGTAGTCGTTCCAAGTGTCTTCACTACGGTTGCTATTCTACTAATGCTACTGTGGAAAATTCTCGTTTATACAGCCCACCTGTGGGCACGGTTGCACTATACCCTTACAAAAATTTAAGCAATCCACAAGCAATCCACAAGCGATCAACGAGTGCTTCAAATAAGCACTCAATGGGGCAGAGGATCGCTTATCTGATTGCTTATTAAGCAATCGACAAGCAATCGATGTGTTCGATCGCTTGTGGATTGCTTAAATTTTTGTAAGGGTAAGTACGCCATAAATGTGCTAACAGTAACACGTTTAACGCTTTACGTTAGTTCGTAACGATACCAGTATTGGTCCAAATAACAGTCGGCCTAGGTCAGGGTAAAATAGTCCCTAACAGGAAAAGCAGTCAAATATTTGTTAGTCACATTACTGAGGCAGAAAACATACGATTTGAAAAATTTCATTATTTTGTAATAAATTAGTTGAATGAGATTATTTGAGCTTATTTGATCATGGAAAAGCACTGTTGCAAACTGCTGCGCATTTGCACATAGAAATGCAAAACAGTCGCTTGGCTGTAACTAGATCTTCGAAATTTCAATGCTGTTGTCGTTATGCATCTCAAGACGGTTCAGATTTGCCGAAGAAATGTTATTATAGCACGAACAGAAATGAGATTAACATTAACAATGATTTAATTTAATTAATCCTTCAAGGACGAGCCCGCAGTAGGAATATTTAAACACTTGCTTGCGAGGATTTACAAGTTTGTAGTAAAATTATCCTTGCTATCACACATAATAAATTTACGAAGCGTTTTTACGCGTATCACCTCAGTACAAAACGAACCGACGTCAAAAACAAATGGCACTAAACAGACGATATCTTTCATGATGCAAGACATAAGCAAGCAACGTAAGCAACACGAATCAATTTTACTGCATGAAATACTTAAATATCCAAGGTATCTCAAACAAAAGCGAAATGCTAGTCACCGTTTGTCCACAAAAACGTCTTAAAAAACAATTAACCGTTCAATCTAGATAATAGAAACAGATCATGAACGGAAAACACACAAAATCAATTGCATCTCCAAGTGAAACCAGCCGTTCAGCTGTATCCACACAAATTGCCACATACAGCGTGTAGGGTTTACCGCATTTAATAACCATAAAAGCTGCACCAAACTGCTAAAATCATTCAAATAAGGTAAAAAATAGTGCATCCAAGGCAAAAATCGGCAAAATCGTCCAGGGCCCTTTTCAAAATTTTTATAAATATGATGTGGCTAAAAATGTCGGCTGGTGATTCAAGAACTAGAACGAAAAAATGCATCCAGTAAGACCCGGACCTGAAATAACCCCAACATGCAAGGGACACCCCAATCACGCCGACAAAAACATGCGCAGGTGCTACCGTCGACCACCCAGCACTCTCTCACCTGCATTTCGAGCAGCGACTCTGCTCCGACGCCGCCATCTTCCTCGTCGGCCGTCGAATGCTGTGAGTCGCAGAAGGAGACGGCGTCGCCGGTGTACCTCTCTTGGGTCGTGTCCGACAGACGCTCGGACGAGGCGCGCTTGCGCTCAACCTTGGGGCTCGCCGACTGTGAGCGGTTCGGCGAGGAGCCATCGTGGCGCGTGCTGCGCTTGCGAAAGTAGCTCAGTATGCCCTTCTTGTGTAGCACGGGCGTCTGCTGCTGCTGCTGCTGCTGCTGCTGCTGCTGCTGCTGCTGCTGCTGCTGCTGCTGCTGCTGTTGCTGGTGGTGATGCTGCTCCATGCCGCTGACGATGGCGTCATCACCATCTTATGCCGCCATTTTTCGCGGCGCGGCGATGTGAGGGATTGCCCACGGACGAGTTTTAACGCCGCGATCGCGTCGCCTGCCTGAATTCGACGCGTTCCGTGGCCATCCGTGAACCCACCGCCGCCGGATCTCACAAGATTCCCACTCGCCGAGTGTTTCAGTACGTGCCAAGCGTTAATCGTCGGGTACACACGTGGATGCTACGACAGGCCTGGCGTGAGCGCTATGCTCAATAGTTGAAGTCAGTCGGCGGAACGCGATAGGCGTTTGGAAACTGAAAAGAAGAAATATCGCTCACGTTGCTGACTTCGTCTGCGCACATCAGGATTTTTACGAAACGTAAAGGTGTGCTTGAGCGCCGCACAATAGCGAGCGAACAGCGAAACCATGCATGCATAAACTTCGTGCGCCTGCTTGCAAACTTGGCGAGGCCCACCATCGGCCCAATGTTCAGTGGGGCTACGTCCACAGGTCAACCCTAGGTCCTCACTAGCACGCGTTATCATCGCGTATTAGCGTTTACACGGTGGGCGGTAAGAAATACACGTGGGCACCGAATGAAGTGCGCGTATAGGCGCAAGCAAATGTTGATTCCCATATTTGCGTATGCATTGCAGATCATCGCGGTCTTACGCGATAAGCATGCATCTCACTATATCTAGAGCGGTAGCGTATATGGTCCACACAGTCGGTTGGCTATAAGATTTTTTAAGATCGACACAAAAAAACGTTCAGGCAGGCAGCATTCGAGTACAAAACATCCGGAAAACATCGAGAGCTAATAATACATACATATATACATACGCATGCAAGCTATGATGGTGGAATCAAGGGTGAATAAAACAAATTTGTTCTAATTCCCCTCTGATGCCACCCATGATGGCGGACCTGTGCAGATAGAGACCTGTTAGCAAGCTATATTCACGTGCGTCAGTCATTCTCGCCCAATGTGTAACAACTTATCCTATTACCGACATTTACCGTAAACGACACGCCACTAACTACTTTATGGCAGTACGTGTCGACAAATGAGATCAGCACACAGGGGAGTTAGATACTTCACGACGTAAAACGGTAATTTTGTATGTCAACTTTTATCTCTGTTATTAACAGTGAGTATACTATTTAATATAGTGCAGTATATTAGTAAACGATCACCTAGGAAAATGAAAGGGGGTGGATGTGTGTAGACCCCACAAGCACTATAAACGAATGTTCGAATCTATCCAACTATAGGCTTTTCACTGCAACAGCCAGTTTTCCATTTACTTGAAAAACCAATCCAAAGGTATTCATGCAATGCGCACTGCTCTGAGAGCAATTAATTAATTCTTGTTAAAATTGCACCCAAATGGCCACTTGGAGCTCAGGAATTTCATCTTAAAACGTAGAGAGGTAGCGTTCATTACAGTATAGGTTTTCACTGTCAGTAATAATTTTCAATTGATGTATATCAGATATTAAATCAGACGTAAAATTATTCAAAGATTTGCAAACATAATATAACATTTTTTGCTCCCTCCTTCATACCTGTATCTGCACACATTAACGTATACGCGTTTTACGAAATGCATGCTTTCAAGAGTCAAAAACTACTGCGATGATATCACAGGCCACGTCACTATATCGAGTTTCATAGACCAGAGTAACGTTTTTCCTTCCTTGGCCTTCTCTCTCGGAGTACTGACCCATCTGTCCCTCACTGTAAGGGTCTACGGGTGGTCTCCGTCTGTTTCGGATACTATCGTCTAAGAAAACTGCATGCTATCAGTGTCACTGTGTAATAAAAATCCATATAAAATCCCCCACATTCGCTACACGATGAATGGCGAGAGTATATTTCATCGTTACGAAACTCTACAGCTGCCAACAGGCACAGAGGAAGAAAGATGGAGCTTTCCTTAATTTTATTTTTCTGTCTAATTTCGGCTCAAGGGTCTAAGGCGCCCGGCGCAGAAAAGTGACGTCAGTATATATATCCTCTCTCACTTTCTCTGTATGTCTCTCGCTCTCTCTCTCTCTCTCTCTCTCTCTCTCTCTCTCTCTCTCTCTCTCTCTCTCTTTCTCTTTCGCTCTCTCGCACTCTCTCTCTCTCTCTTACGCTCTCTCACCTTCTCTCTTTGTTGCTGCATGTCTGTCTCCCTCCCCCCTCTCTCTCTCTCTCTCTCTCTCTCTCTCCTCTTCTTCGGCCTTCATTTACGATTTTACGCGAGGATGCTGCACATCACTGGCGGCTTGCTGTAACGCCAGGCCCACCGACGCAATTTGCGCAATAATAACTGCGCTCGCCACGCAGCCCGAGTTCCCCTAACGAGGGCCGTGCGTTCGTTCAATTACATAGCGCGACGGCGCATTTCTCGCTGGCCCGGCCGCACTGTGGATGCGCCTGCCTCAAATCACTAGCGCCCGATGGATTACGAATCGAAGCGAGTTAATAATACACGCGTGCGTTATTTGGTTTGGGAACCTCTGACGTAATAATTGGTTGTTGGTTTTGACCGCTTTCTCCATCAGAAGCTAAAACTTAAAAGTGAAACGTCATGTCCATTTGCAACGTAGACTTAGAGAACGATAGACAAATGAGAACGCAATATAATCTGTGGCGGAGAACAAACAACCCGGTGTTAAACACGGATGTTTAAACGATTTTCACGCACGGCTGGTCGTTCAACGCTAAAATCGGCAATTACATTTGCTATAACGCCATTGAACAAAAGACAGAAATTGCGACAAAGTTCCGCATTGCCCCACTAAGTCTTGCTATCACCTCTGGACTTGCTATTTTGCAGCAATGGGCGCGAATTAGCTGTTTTAATCTCTAAATTAACAATTGACAACCTGGCGTCTGCCGATTCGTCGCAGCCATGCACGCCACCATTTTGTTATACGTTTCAGAATTGGTGGCTGAAGCTGCTAACTGGGCCAGCGCTTAATGATCTGACTCTCAGTAACGACATTAGCTATGAGCATGGTAATGAATCCACGCAAAAACTGCTGCTTTACGGAAAGCAGCACCGGTGTTAAACGATTTCACGCACGCCTGTCGCTTCAGGCTACACTATCCTCACGGAAGTTGTTAATCGAATGATTAACTAAGAAAGGGCAGTTTGTCGCCAACTACATGATCCCCCGTGTTCTTCCCCAAGGATTGTGCTAATGTATACGAAGTTTTGTCGCCGCATAGGTCAATTAGCGCCGACCGAGTTATAAAAAGCGGAAGAAAAATATGATGAAGTTCAAGGTCACGCGTCAATGTCAAATAATGGTTTGCAGTGACCTGATATTCGGTACGCCGGCACGACCTTCTCCCCAAGATGGTGTAAGCTAGGTATTACCAAGTTTGGTCGCGCTAGGTCAATTAGAGGGCCGGTTATAGAGCAGAAGGGAAATGATGATCTCAAGGCGCAAGGTAAAGTCCAAATAAGAGGTCGTTAGCTACCGGGTTTTGGTAGGGACACACCTTCTCCCCAGAGATGTGTAAGTATACCAAGTTTGGTCTGATAGCGGCCAGATCAATTAGGGGCGAGTTATAGATGCGAAAGAATAAATATGATCAATGCGTCAAAGAAAGGTCGTAGGGTAGCTGACCTGGTTTGGTTAGCGCTGCGGTCAATTAGGAGGCCGAGTTATAAGCGAGGGGAAGGCGAAATATGATAAAGTCAGGGTCAATGTCAAATAAAAGGTAGTGCACCTGATTTCGGGTACGGACACACCTTCTCCCCAAGATGTGTTAAGTATACCAAGTTGATCGCGCTAGGTCAATTAGCCGCCCGCATGTTATTAGAGCGGACAAAAAATCATGATCAAGGTCAAGGGTCAAAATAAAAGCTCGCAGTGACTGGTTTTGGTACGCTGGCGCCACCTTCTCGCCCATATGTGTAAGTATACCAAGTTGGCGAGCCTAGGGTCAATTTAGGGCCCCGAGTTAGATGAGCGGAAGGGAAATATGATCAAGCGTCAAGGTACAGGTCAAATAAAGGTCGCAGTGACCTGGGTTTTGGTTACTGTGCACAACCTTCTCCCCAAGATGTGTAAGGAGGGGGGTATACCAAGTTTTGCGTCACGCTAGGTCAATTAGGGGGTCGAGTTATAGAGCGGAGGGAAAATTTTCTCTGCGGGACGCAGCGGCCGGCGCGGCGGCTGGTGGGGAGGCAGACATGAAGACCATAGCTATCCCCGCCGACTTCGTCGCGGGGGATACAATTACTAATTATAACTACAGTCGCAGCTCGCTAACGCGAGTATTTCATTGTTCTGCTCGTTGGGTATACCACAACACTGTTCATGCATTTGTGCAAGCCCGAGCCGGCAACCTGCATGACAGCTTTGATCACGAGAGTGAGACAGGGAGAGGGGAGGAGATATTATTAGCAAAATACTACCAATGCTAACAAAGCATCGCGTTCAAATATTAGTCCTCGCTCTGACATGAACGTTACAGTTAATTTTGCTGAGTGGCTTTGCTGATTAAAATGCAGGTTAAATATGCATGCACTCCCAACAAGCCGAAATTGTTCACTGCATGGTGCTATACATTTTTTTTAATTCACAAATTCTGCAAAATTTGAAAGCACAGAGAAACATAGCTGGACAAATTGAATTGGCCACTTTGCTCAGAAACATGCAATGACAATTTACCGAGAACTTAACGAAACTCCTCCGAAATAGATCTCAAGTGAATTGTAATATATCCTAGCGGCGCTCATATATGAGAGCAGGCATTTTCTGCACAGTGGGTTTAGTCTTTATCGGCTACAGGGTAGACGACACCCGCGCTGTTCTACATTTTTATGACAGAAGCGGCAAGCCATATATTGCGGCCACTTGGATTCTCCCTGCTTGCTTTGCAGGCTGAGCAAACTAGACCTTCATCTTCCACCAGCTGCACACTCAGTTATGTCGCCCACTTGTTTAAGTTGGTTCCAGCAATCTTGTTTCCTCAGTAATTCAACATGTAGCGCAGTACGTGAGCTTAATCATCACCAAGGGCTTGCAGCAGCCTGATGAAGCCTACGCCGCATCAAATCCGTCTGCTCGGCGGTAACACCATCACGACATGCTGCAATATTTGCTTGCAACGGGCCGCGTGGCATAATGTATCAGCAAATGTTACGAGGCCGATAACGTTTTCATTATGCTCTTTCTACAGTAGGAGAATGGCTTCGTTGGCCGATATATCGGTATCTCTGGAGCCAGCAAATAAATACTTAGTAAATACTTAAATAATAGTAGCAATAAAGTTTAGCAAACGAATCTGTCGGTGAAACGTAACGA